CAAGAAGTCTCAGAGGGGTCGCCCTGTTGGGCTGTAACTTTAAAAACACCACGTGCTCCTGCGGCATCTTAGGGCATGTCTCCGCTACAGTGTCATTGTGACAGCGAGTCGGGGTTCCCTGCACCAGCGAGAACAGACTCCGCCAGCCAGTAGAACAGAGGGGGGTTATTGCTTCTCCGGGATACAGCCCGGCACAGACGTGATGTGGCTACAAGAGTCAGGGCCAGGATGCCTCAGACCCCTTGGGTTAGGGGGTCCATCGCCTCCCCATGACCCTCAGTCCTCAGCTTAGGCTCTTTCCTTCATGTTTCCCAGCCAGCCACTGCCTGGCTCCCAAACTCTGCCCCCAAACCAGGTGTTTGTCTCTGCCTCCCTTCCTTTGTCTCTCCCCTGGTGTGACGTAGTGGGGGTACTTGCTGGGCTGTGGTGACCCCTGCTGTCTGGAGCAAGACCCAGCAGGGAAAACCTCGCTAGGCAGAGGTAAGGCCAAACTTGTTGAGCCAGTGGCCAGACACCCCCCATGGAGAGGAACAAAGGAAGGTGGATGCTGCCCTGACTGGGGGGGCAGGGCTGCAAGGGAATTTAGTTAGTTACTGTGGGAGAGCATGGAGGAGAGCCTAGGAGAAGGGGCTGGAGTTTAGGGGCCCAGTCTCCCCCATCTCAAGGGGGCCTGAGGCATCCTAGCCATGAATCAGTGGGAATCACACAGCAGGGGGACCCCGGGAAATAATAAATGCTCATTTCACAAGGAATAACACTTATTTCGAAATAGCAGCAGTGTGAGCCGCCTCGGCTGCTATTGCAAAATAGCTTCTCCCTGGGGCCATTCAAAGCAATTACACCCTTCTATTTCCTGTGGCTGGAAAAATCGAGGGAGCGCAGCCCCATTAGGGAAGCCTGCCTTGGACTCATTTTAAGTGCATTAGTGTGGCCGTGCTGTTTTGAATTAGTTATTTCAGGAGTTATTATTCCAAAATAACTTATTTCAAAATACCCTTGTAGTGTAGAAATACCCCTAGGCTATGTCTACACTCACAGCTTCTTGCGTGAGAAGTATGCGAATGAGGCTAAGCGTGGAATATCGCCGAGCCTCATTTGCATACCTAATGAGCCACCCTTTTTACAGAAGAGGCTCTTGCGCCAGAAGGAGTGTCTACACAGCCCCTTCTTGCGCAAGAAAACCCCCCTTGCGCAATGCCGTTATTCTTGAAAATAATCGGTGTAGCAGCATTGCGCAAGAAGGTTTTTCTTGCGCAAGAAGGGGCCGTGTAGACAGCTCCTTCTGGCGCAAGAGCCTCTTCTGCAAAAATGGTGGATCATTAGGTATGCAAATGAGACTCGGCGATATTCCACACAGCCTCATTTGCATATTTCTGGCACAAGAAGTCACGAGTGTAGACATAGCCCTAGAGACTAACAGACAGACAGACAGACAATCATGAGCTTTCGTGGGCAAACCCACTTCCTCAGATGAGCTGGCGAGGAATAACAGGAACCCAGACATTTATAATAGAAAAAGGAGAAAAAAAAAAAAGCTACTACAATTGTAGGACCCATGCTAATGAGGCTATTTAAGAAGCTGGAAGTGTCCTGTCCATAATTAGCCTGCAATTGACAGCTCTCTCTTTCCCCCATCTTTTCTCCTTTTTCTGTTCTAACGTCTGGGTTCCTCTCATTCCTCTCCAGCTCATCTGAAGAAGTGGGCTGTGCCCAGGGAAGCTCACGATACTCGCGATCTGTGTTGGGCTGCCGACGGCGAGGGGC